AGTGGTAGAGCGCTCGCCTTGAGCTGAATTGCTGAAGGACAGCGCCCAGGCCCAGAGTTCAAGCCCCACGACCGACAAAAAAAAAAAAGTTTAAAGTCTACTTGTCTGTGGCTTTGGAGCATTAACCACACTACAGAGCTGTGTTCCTTGAGGGAAGGAACCATTGTTTATTATTTCTGTATCAATTTTGTTCATTTATAAATAATATTTGAAGACATTTTTAAAAATGAGGTTATTAAAGAATAGTGTGCTTTTCTGAGTACATTAGTGTTGTGATTAAATCTGGTAAAAGGAGATCAGGCAGAAGTTGAAGCTGTTTAGCTCCCTATTGAGGATTGCTCTGTATTTGTGTTTTCTGAACCCCAAAATGAAGGAAAGAAAGTAGAATGATAGGAAGGGAGAAAAGGAGGGAGGGATCAGGAGGCTAAGGCTGGACAGAGTAGAGTGAGAAGGGAGTTTATATACAATGAGCCACAATTCTGTGAAATGGAGTTTGTACACTAGAAACCAGACTTGATGAAATGGAAAAGAAAACACAATATTTTGTGGGTAAGAGATGTTTAGGAACTTGCTTCCTTTTCCTAGCCACATTTCAACACTCTCCACAAAATGTATATTTCAAGGAGCACTGGAAATGATTTGGATTTGAGGAAATAAAAAATTCATGTTCTGTACAAGCACTTGTTATGTGTACAAAGGTATTTTAGACAAGATTAATTTCCTATTCACAATGATGGTTCTTGACCCACTTCTTAGTTGTAAATTTAAAAAATTGAGATATTCATATGCAGTTCCTTGACTATATAATCTAAGAAAATGCCACTTGTTTTAGGAAAATAATATATTATTTAAGGCAGTTCACATTCTTTTTTCCCCCTAGCCTCTGTTCCCTAATTTCTGGCTCTGATGATGTGGTCTCTACTATATGGCTACTATAAAGTTTTTCCTCTCTTTCTCAGAAACTCAGTATAGGACCAGTCCTAAAGCAGGTTGGGTTATGGGCTAATTTTTTACTTTTTGAGTCATTCAGACCTAGGGAAAGCCTAATCATTTAGCCCAAATTTAAGAATCACTGCTTTAGTGGTGGTCTCTAATTTGGAGACATTACTTCAAGAGAAGGTTAAACGTCCTCTGAAATGTTAACTAGGAAAGCATAGTTCCATAAAATTAGTAATATGCATGGATTTAGTGATTATATATTACCTTCTTTAAGACATTAAAGATCTGATTTTTAATGAGATATAACTTAATTTAGTAGAGGGGTTAAGCATAGTTGTTATTTATTCGTGTTCTCTACTGGTCTCAGGTCTACTTGAAAAAGTAGTTCTTGAAAGAGTCCTCTTAGAGTTGGGAGCAGGGGCAGAGAAAGTACATGACAGCTTTAGGAAAACAGGAAACAATGAAGTAAAGACACCAAAACTAATCTGCCAGCTGGGCCTTCTCTCAGGTGGATGGAGTCTTACTATATAGCCCAGGCTAGCCTCAAACTTGCTGTACAGTCCAGGCTGGCCTAAAAATCATATCATCTTTTTGCTTTTTTTTTAACGTTAGTGCTAGGGTTATTTTACTGTTAAATGACCACATGTTATAATATGTTCTAATCAATTTCCCCCCTCTATCACACTTCTCCTGCCTCAATATTCTGAGTGCTAGGATTACAGATGTATACCACCACCCTGGCTCAAATAATAGTATCTATAAGAGAAACAAATACTAGAATACTGATGTTATTATTTTTATGTGTGTGTATGTGTGTGTGTGTGTGCGTGCATGTGCACATGCACACATGCACTGGTCCTGGGGCTTGAACTCAGGACCTGGGAATAGTCCCTGAATTTTTTTTTTCTTCCTCAAGGCTCACACTGTACTAGCATTTGCTCCCACCTTTTTGGTAGTTTTTATTGGAGATAAGAGTTTCCTGCCCAGGCTTCTGATCATTCTCTGAAACATGATCCTCATATCTCAGCCTTCTGAGTAGCTGGGATTACAAGCATGAGCTACCAGTGCCTGGACTGGTATTGTCATTTTGCTCTAGCATGGTAATCTATGCTATAATCTTTTTTTTTTTTTGGTCAGTTGTGGGGCCTGAACTCTGGGCCTGGATGCTGTCCCTCAGCTCTTCAGCTCAGGCTAGCACTCTACCACTTGAGCCACAGTGCCACTTCTGGCTTTTTCTGCGTGGTACTGAGGAACCAACCCAGGGCACTCTACCACTGAGCCACCTTCCCAGCTACTATCATCTTTATAGACTAATCACTTATTCATCCCTAGGAAATGTGACTAGATGTACTAAAACCTAGATTCTGTAATTAAAATGTAGAACTAAAGGAATTGCTTAACAAATAGTTGATTTGTACTCAAGCTGTCTTCTGGCCTTAGACCATCTGCTCACATCCAATAGAGTGTTTTATTTATTGGATTTTTTTGCGGGGGGGGAGTTTCAAGATTCATTTTAATGTTAGTATCTATTAGATGTATATAGACATCAGTACTATGTCACTCCTGTTATCCTGTAGCCACTAATTAAAACTACATAGTACAATTTCCATATAACCAGTAATTAGAAATGATATCTTTAATAACACCCAAATGTTCTTTTGGCTCATGCTGATAGTTTCTAGGTGGAGTTGCTGTGATAGTACAGATGGTTCACTTCAGCTCTGTGTGTGAAGACAGCACATTAAAATATGATGGCAAATGAAAATTTTCGATTGAACTGTCTCCAAAGAACTGCTTCTTCAATCTCTCTAATAGGCACAGTTATATGTTTTCTCCCTCTTTCTTCTCCCCCCCCTCCCCCGCTGCTTCTTATAAATCTGTTACAAATTTTAAAAGAAACACTGCGGTCAACCTTTTCTCTTTTTTCCTTCTAGTATAAATGCTTGCAAGATCTCTCACTAAAATTATGAGCTAAAATTGTTCTCTGTTTTTTTTTAAATTTTTAAATACTTTTTTATTGTAAAAATAGTGTACAGAGGGGTTACAGTTACATGAGTAAGGTAATGAGTACATTTCCTATTGAGCATTGTTACCTCCTCCTTTGTTTTTCCCCTATGTTCTCAGTATTTTTAACCAACTTTTTAAAAAGTTCTTACATTCTACAGTCTGTTTAAGGTTTCATTGTTGGATTGTTGCCTTTCTGGGTGTAATCCAGGGCTTCATATATGCAAGCAAGCACTCCACCTTCCAGCTACTTCTCTAGCCCGCTGATGTGGAAGCTGGATAGCCTGTAGGTAACTGCTGAGAATACTGAGACCCTCAATTATTTGAGCATGTTTACTTTCCTTGTGACTTTAACTCCTGACAGTCTTTTTAGGAGTGTATTAACTGTAGCTTTTTTTTAAAGTTTTATTAAGGATTTATTTTAGTATAACAAAAAGTAGGGAGAGGGGCTGGGAAGGTGGCTCAGTGGTAGAGCACTTGCCTTGCATGCTCGAGGCCCTGGGTTCGATTCCTCAGCACCACATAAGAAAAAAGCCGGAAGTGGCGCTGTGGCTCAAGTGGTAGAGTGCTAGCCTTAGAGCTGAAGAGCTGAGGGACAGCGCCCAGGCCCAGAGTTCAGGCCCCACGACCGGACCCAAAAAAAAAAAAAAGTAGGGAGAAATGGAAAATGTAACACAAAGTAGGCAGGAAATGGGAGTTAAAGGCTGAAATTGCAATTTCTATCTGTAGCCTTTATTTTTTCTAAACTGGGCACTACACATAGTCATGTCAGTCTAGAGACTCCTAATCCGTAGTGGTGTTGAGTGGGTAAGATGAGGTCAAAACTCAGGTAGCTCTTAGTTTTCTTTTGGCCTGACATGCCTTTCATTTTTTTTCTGTCTGTACCCACCTAAGAAGATCTAACAGATTTTTACCAATTCAAAGGACAAACAGATCTAGAGAGCTCCTATTCTAGGGCAAAGAAGAAGACAGATTTAGATAGATCCTCCCAGATCTCCAAAGCTTCAAAAGGAGGTAGAGTCCCTTGGGGACTTACCTGCTTTTTTTTTTTTTTCCCCAATTTCCCTTCAGACTTTAACCTTTGAGTCTGGCAATCTTTTTACATTTGTTGCAAGAATAAAATTTCCTAGGCTGGGAATGTGGCTTAGTGGTAGAGTGCTTGCCTAGCGTGCATGAAGCCCTGGGTTCGATTCTTTAGTAGCTTAGTACCACATAAACAGTGGCTCAAGTGCTAGAGTGCTAGCCTTGAGCAAAAGAAGTTCAGGGACAATGTGTAGGCCCCAAGTTCAAGTCCCAGGACTAGCAAAAAAAAAAAAAAAGTAATTTCTTGTCTCTGTACCTATCTGCCCCTCTTCATTCTCCTCCCCCCTAAAGATTTTAGGCCCTTTTAAGTGAGGCAGTGGTCTGGTCTGTGGGGTTTTAGTTTTTTTGTTTTTGTTTTTAATGTATAGCTGTTTTCTGTTTAGAGAGGACTGTTGGACCTACCAGAAAAAAAAGAGAACCAACAAGGCATCTCTTTATCTGATTTAGAAGGTAACAGGGGAAACTCATTTGGCAGAAAATCCAATTAACAGGCTGCTATGAACAGGTCTAGAAAATGATCAGGATCAGAAGACTTCTTACTCTTTTTGTTGTTGTTATTGTTTGGTTTTCTTTGTGTTTTTTGTAGGGGGTGGGGGGCCGGTCAGAAAAGGGAAACAAATGCTGGGAGGGAGAATGAACAAAGTGAAGGAAGGATGGCTCACGCCTGTAATCCTAGCTACTCAGGAGGCTGAGATCTGAGGATCACAGTTCAAAGCCAGCCCAGGCGGGAACATCCATGAGACTCTTATCTCCATTAACCACGCAGAAAGCTGGCAGAAAGCGGAAGTGGCACTGTGGCTCAAGTGGTAAAGAGCTCGCCTTGAACTGAAGAGCTCAGGGACAGTGCCCAGGCCCAGAGTTTAAGCCCCATGACCGACTCCCCCCCCCCACCTAAAAAAAAAATGTAAAGGAAATTTTCCTTTTAAAAGAAACAAATAGATAAATAAGTGCTGGTGGCTCACACTTGTAATCCTCGCTACTCAGGAGGCTGAAATCTGAGAATTTTTTTTTCTGTCGGATGCAGGGCTCGAACTCAGGGCCAGAACGCTGTCCTTGAGTCTCAGTGCTCAAGACTAGCGCTCTACCACTTGAGCCACAGTGCCACTCCCGACTTTCTGGTGGTTCATTTGAGATAAGAGTCTCATGGGGACTTTCCTGCTAGGGCTGGCCTTGAACCGTGGTTGTCAGATTTCAGCCTCCTTAGTAGCCAAGATTACAGGCATGAGCCACCAGCATCCAGCAGGAGTGTGGGGCTTTTAACTCTTGCAGTGAAAAAGATTTTATCTCTGTTGATACTGATGGAGAAGTGGCTATCTTGTGAGGTTCAATCCCTGCCCTCGGCTGGCAGTTTTTGTCACTGGAGAATGGATGAACTTCCATCAGTTTCCCAGTTTCTGCAAAATTTAAAAAAAAAAAATCTCTCAGGTTCTAGAAACCCACTATTGGAAAGCACTTCAGAAAGGAGAGTTTCACAGAAGCTTCAGCAAGGATTTAGTTTAGTGTATCTTGCTTAAAGTAGTGAAAAATGGGAAAGAGAAACATTTCCTGCCCCCTGTGCAGTAAATGGGAATTAAAGATTCCTTCTTTGTAGATTTTTTAAAATTTTTGTCTCAATTTCAAAAAATAAATGCTTCCCCAAAAGAATAAACACAGGTTGGTGTTGCTAATATTATATAAAAGACATGTCTAATTTCTCCTACATCATCAATTTATTATTGACTTGGAATTTTTTTTTTTTTTTTGCCAGCCCTGGGGCTTGAAATCAAGGCCTGAGCACTGTCCCTGAACCTCTCTGTGCTCAAGGCTCTACCATGTAAGCCACTGCACCACGTCTAGCTTTTTCTGAGTAGTTTATTGGAGATAAAAAGTCTCATGGACTTTGCTGTCCCATCTGGCTTCAGACTGTGATCCTCAGATCTCTGCCTCCTAAGTAGTTAGGATTACAGGTATGAACCACTGGTGCCCAGCTTGTAATTCTTATTGGTTACCATGCTAGTTGTTCAAATATTTTAGTCTCAGTTACTCAACAAGAATTCCTTAACATGTACTTTATTGATCTGTTTATTCTAGGCTGACATTTTCTGAGGAAGCTGGAGATGCAATTTGTGCCTATGGGGGGCAGGATGCTTATAATAACTCCAAGTGTCTGGCTTTAGCTCAGATTATCTACAGTGAGTGTGGTCTTCACAAGAAAGCTCTTCTTTGTCTGTGTAAACAGGGTCAGATTCATCAGGCCTTGGAATACATACAACACACTAAAGACTTTACTTCTGGTAAGTGAAAAGGCCTAGTTATTCATATGCATTCAAATTCTAAGATCACTCTTAATGTAGGTATTATTATATATATATATGTATATACATATATATATATATATATTTTTTTTTTTTTTACAGGGCTGGGAATGTGGCTTAGTGGTAGAGTGCTTGCCTAGCATGCATCAAGTCCTGAGTTTGATTCCTCAGTACCACATAAACAGAAAAAGCCCCAAGTGGCACTGTGGCTCAAGTGATAGAATTCTAGCCTTGAGCAAAAGAAGTTCTGGGACAGTGCGTAGGCCCTGAGTTAAAGCCCCAGGACTGGCAAAAAGAAATATATAGAGTCTATTTTTACATACACTGATAAGTAAATTCCCTTTGTAAAATTTTCATGAAGAGAAGACAGAGCTAATTGGCTTTCATGATAGATATTGAAGTTTGTTAAACATTTTCTCCAGCAAACATCTAGCAAACTAGATAGTACTTAGACATGTATAGCCTTATAGACAAATTTCGTAGATATGCTGGACCATGCATCACAAATTAAAGAAAATAATTGAGCATAGTCAGGTGCTGATGGCTCACATCTGTAATTCTAGCTACTGAGAAGGCTGAGATCTGAAGATTATTGTTCAAAGCCAGCTCAGGTAGGAAAGTCAATGAGGCTTTTATTTCCAATTTTTTTTTTTTTTTTTTGTGGAAAAGCCCGAAGTGGAGCTGTGGCTCAAGTAGTGGAGTTTTGAGCAAAAAAATCTCACAGACAGCATCCAGGCCCTGAGTTCACACAGTACTTGCATATACACAAAAAAAATAACTGAACTTGCCTGTCATATATGATATTCTAAACTATAATATAAGCACTACAAATGAAGAATTAATAAAATAATACTCATTTTATAATTTTGAAATACTTAGCTTACAGTTGGGTAGTTATCTAAGAAAATATTTTCTGGTAATTATTTGAAATTTCTTTATGATACAATGTTGTGGGTAGTTATACTTTTTATTTTCTATGCTGAGCATGATTAATTTTTTTCTTTGCCCTTTTCTTTTGGTTGAAGATAGTACTGTTGGCTTTACACTGGGGTGACTCATTAAGGGGTTTGGAAGAATTGGAAAAATAAGTGTTGGTATTAAAAGTATAGATATTAGCTGGCCTATTTATAGTTGATTTATCATATGAGATATATTTTTTATCTTTATCTCAGATGACCTGATGCAGCTAATCATATCATGTCCCCAATCCAAATTAATCCAATGTCTCATTCAAGAAAGGGATGGGAAACCACCATTTTTATCTTGTGGACTTGTGATACTTCATCTGTTCTCTATGGATATGACAAAATCTGGCATTAAGCTACTCCAAGAAATGAACAAAGGTGGGAAAGGTAAGTAAAGAGAGGGATATTGTGAAAGAAAAAGCAGTAGGTTATTTAGGAAAAGTTCAAAATGACTATATATGTTTTGTCTGTTTGTCTGTCTTTGGAATGGTGAGGGGGCAGAGGAAGCGTGGGACAAAGGTGACGAATGCAGCTGGATACTCATAGGACACTGTTGAAAATGAATTATACAACTTGTAGGTAGGGTTGGAAGGGAAAAGCTGGGAGAGAACAAGAGAAGGGGTGATATTGTTCAAAAAGAAAAAGAAATGTACTCATTACCTGACATATAGCTATAACCCTACTGTACATCACCTTTACAATAACAATAAAAATGACTATGTATGAATTAATTCAAATTTTCCATATTGTTCCTTCTTAGCAAGAGCTAACATTAAAGAGTTCAGAAATGTAAAAATTACATGTCAATAATAGTCTGTTGGCAATAATATTTATTTTTTGAGGAAATTAGAATGAAGAGAGAATCTCTATTAAACCCAAAGGGAATGTCATAGTAATTTTTTTGGGGGGGGGTCCGGTCATGGGGCCTGAACTCTGGGCCTGGTTCCTCAGCTCTTCAGCTCAAGGCTAGCACTCTACTACTTGAGCCACAGCGTCACTTCCGGCTTTTTTTCTTTTTGCTTCTATGGTGCTGAGGAATTGAACCCAGGGCCTCAGGCATGCAAGGCAAGCACTCTACCACTGAGCCACCTTCCCGGCCCCGTTATAGTAATTTTAAGAGTTAACATTATTTAAAAACCATATAAACACGTATATCTTTAGCAATCTCTTTATATGAATTTAAACATTATTTACATATGAACTATATATTTTAATTCATAAGCAAAACATATACATATACATCTTATTTTTTATAGAAAGGAGGTGTGTCAAAAATAATTGAGTAATTTCACTCCTTTTCACTTTCATTAATTTTATATAAGAAGTTTGGGGCTGGGGAGGTGGCTCAGTGGTAGAGCGTTTGCCTTGCATGCATGAGGCCCTGGGTTCGATTCCTCAGCATCACATAAGCAAAAA